GGGGTGCATGCTGCGTGGATGTCCTGTGCGAAATGTTGTGCGATGGCACGGGCCACAACGCGGCGGACGATATCACCTACCACCAGTCCTCGTATGCCACCATTTGTTTTCTGGAGCGCGACGATGCGTCCCATGGCCATGGCTCTTGCGATGCTGGGTGGTATGCTGGCTTGTGCCAAGAGCTGACACGTGTCCAGGAAACGGGCTGTGGTGTGCTCGTCGTCGAAGACGATTCGGAGTGCCTCAGCCGTGAGACCAGATGGGCCCGGGGCAGTGCCTTTGCGGGACTTGCGCAAGGCTGTGATCAGTGTCTCCGTCGGGAGACGGAATGCCGCTTCGGGTTGGAACTGCTGGATTTCGTAGCTGCGCAAGGGTTGCTGCTGTACCAGGTGCCGTGGGCCCCGCGGTGAGGGCCTGGCGGGCTGCTGAAAGTTCTCCCTGGTGGACGAGGTGCTGTGCTCGTTCCCTGCGTCTTTGGTCACTGTTGTATTGCGAAATGGCTTCTGGGTTAGGCTGCTGTGTGCAGGTGCTGGCTGTGGCTAGCAGTTGGCCCCAGTTGCCAGGCCGCTTTCGGGATGAAAGGAGCCACAACTTCCATGCTCTTGTGCTTTCTGCCGCCATTCAGCAAGAAACAATCCGAAACTTGCAGAAGGTTTTGACCAGTAGCAATGGCATCCCCGTGTGCATTCCCCCTACGAAATTGGGGGGGTTGAGTCCACTAACAAAAAGTTTTTGGTAAAAAAACTACCTTTTGGCTAAAAAATTGGGGGGTCATTTAGTAGTACAAAAACATTTGTAGAGAGTTTAGATAGAAAAGGAAGAGGCCTTCATCTGAGGAAACGGAGATTCCATGTTCAAATCACTATTTTGTTGTTTCAAGCACAGGTATTTTGTAGACTCTTCTCAACACCCTCTCATTTTGTAAGGTAGAGAGTTTAGATAGAAAGGAAGAGACCTTCATCTGAGGAAACGGAGATTCCATGTTCAAACCACTATTTTTTCAAGCACAGGTATTTTGTACACTCTTCTCAACACCCTCTCATTTTGTAAGGTAGAGAGTTTAGATAGAAAAGGAAGAGGCCTTCTCCTTGGCACTTCCTGATCCGCATAGCTTGGCTATGCAGACTGGCCATGCTCCTTCTCAGAGGTGGGTTGCTAGAAGGAAGCATGTGGTGTCTGCGATAGGCAGACCTCCGCGAAATGAGCGGACAAGAGTCAGGGCCTTGCATTTCTTGGGGCAGCGAGCAGGATTGAAAGGGGGATCGTGGGATGATCCTTTTTTATACTTCTTTTCAGGATGCAACGGGGGATCCCATTTTGTAGTTGTTTTTGTGTCTTTTTTCTTGTCTGGGCATGTGGATTTTGTAAGGGTAATTTTTGGTATGTTTTTTAAATATGATTTCTTTTCAGGTACGGTCATTCTTTAGCCCCAGGGTTGGGTACAGTCATAATTTTTTGTTGGGTTGGTCCCATCAATTTAGTAAGAAAATAGTAATATTCTAGATGTACATCCAATCATTTTGTAGTCTGTTTATTCCTCCAAATCCTATCATTTTGTAAGCCTATATGCATGCACACTCATTTTGTAAAGGCAATTCCTTACTAAATTGGATCCCCAACCCAACCTTGTTAATTTTAACGGGGATGCAATGGCCAATGGCGGCTTTCTGCCTCACTGGTGGCGTTGCAAATGCATTCCAGAGCTGAGTGCAGGGCGGCCCGGAACCTGCCTCGGACAAAGGCGGGTGGCGAGGTGAACATGAAGATTTTTTCCCTCAGTGTCGCTGCAAGGTTGGTGGATTCCAGTTGGTGTAAGGCTTGTCTGAGCTGGCGGTCAGTCAGCGTGGTGTTGCCGTGGGGCTTTGCTTGGTGGTCGTCATCGGGCCGTGTTGTCCCCGCTGTGGGTTGGGCTGTTGGGTGTGCTTCCGGTGGGGCAGGCGCTGGCCGACTGTTGCTCCTAGGTGAGGGACTGGTGCTGCGGCTTGACGACGTGCTACTGGTGCTGTTGCTGCTGCTGCTGCTGGTAGGCCGTGGCCATCGTGGTTGGCAGTCGGTTGTGCTGGTCGGGTGCGGGTTGGGGGGGTGGTGTGAGCTGGTGGTTCTGCTGGCCTGGGTCGCCGCCAGCGGTCTGCCAACACGGCCGCTGTGGCTGCCGGTCGTTCCCCCAAAAACGTGTGCAGGAGTGCTTCCTGTGCAGTTGCCGGTACGTACCCTGAGCTGTCTGTCATTCGGCTGAGGGCCCATGGTAGGTGGATGTGTGTAGCGGGTGGTAAAGAACCCGCAGCTGTGGACAGGGCCCTTGGGATCAGTTTCAAAGGTAGAGAGCTGTCCGCCATCACGGATCGTGACTTGTTGCAAGACCAGGAGGGCGTTGTACAATTGCTGCCATGGCACGGGGGCTGCCTCTCGCAAGTGTTGCGCCAGTGTTTGCCATTCGTTGTTGCCGCGGTGATCTTGGGCCCATGCTTCCACCGCTGGGGGTTGCAGTCGGTTGGCCCCGGCGTGGAGCATTGGCACGTACAGCCAACTGTTGGTTGGGCCGGGTTCGTGTTGGGGTGGCCCGTGGGTGATCCACGAGGGCCTGGGGTGGTGCTCTGGTGTTTGTGGTTCTGCCCCGTGTCTGGTGGCGGTTGGCTGGGTTGGCAAAGCCGTGGGTGTGCAGGACTGGATGTTGATGCCGTTTATGCAAGCCCACCCCCGTTCCCCCCATTGCAGGTCGAGGACCAATGTTCTTTGGCCATGGTGGGGGCACTGTGGTGGTTCCGGGACTTGTTGGAGCAAGTGGTGCTCTGGTGTGACACTGGTGTTGCACCGCAAACAAACCCATTCAGGATCATTCAGGCCTCCAGTGCTCCACGCCTCGTCTCTGTCTGCATGTGCAGGGTCAAGCAAGATGAGCCGGTTGCAACACAAAGGCAGAATGCCTGTGGGTGGTGCCGGTGGCCCATTGTGTGCCGGTTCTGGGCGGGTGTGGCTGGTAGGCTCAGGGATCAGGATTTCGTGCTGGGCGCACAGCTGCTGGAAGTGGGTCTCGGTGCGTGGGCCCCAAGGTCGGCGGCATGCTGTTGTGGGCCCGGAGGTTTGCCACGCAAGTCAAGTGAAACTCGTGGTGGCAAAGTGGCCACATGAAGAGTGGTTCGCGTGTTGTTGTTTGCGTGGTGCCAAGGCAAATGGTGCATACCGCTTCTGTGTTGGGGCATGGCGGGGTGCCGTGTAGGATGCCATCTTCGGCCGGAGGCGGGCTTGTGAGATCAATGTGTTCCTGTGTGGCGGGTGGCCAACTAGAGAGGAACAAGTCCAAGGAACCGAGGGCCAAGTCCAGGGCCCGGCAGAATGCAACAGAAGTCCACTTGGCCGAGTGCGGATTTCAATTTTGTAGTGGGTTGCCTGCGCCCAATTTTTGTTTGCGTGTTTTTTTTTTTTTTTTTTTCGAGGCCCTTCTTGCTGTTGAGAAGCCCCAGTGAAACGAGCTGTTTTTATACTGGCCAGCTTCCAGATGTGCCGATGGCGCACTGACTGGGTTTTACGTGGTTCCAGGCTCCACGGGGCACGGTTAAGGACAGTCCGTCATGGAGACTTCTTCACTTCATCCTGCCTGCTTGCAAGGTGCTAATGTGAAGCAATAAGGGTTTGAACCAGAAATGTCACCCCTGGCGTAACTTGATTCCTGAGATTTTCTGAGCACGACGTGCCCTGGCAAGACATGATGTCACCCCTGGCATGACATGATGTCATCGTTGGCATAATTCTAGGCATGACATGATGTCAGCCGTGGCGTGACATGCTGTCTGAGCATGACATGACATCATGCCATCCCTGGCCTGACATGATGTCACCCCTGGCATGATATGATGTCATCCCTGGGCATGATATTATATGGCTTTGCAGGTGCTGCTGCTGTGCTGGTGCTGGTGCTGGCTTTGGGTCGGCATTTTGGCTTTGCCGGTGCTGCTGCCGTGCTGACGCTGGTGCTGGGTCGGCGTTTTGTTTTGCTGGTGCTGGTGCCGGGTGCAGGCGCTGGCTCTGGACCGGCGTTGTGCTGCAGCCGGCGTTTTGTTTGGCCGGTGCTGGTGCCTTGCTGGTGCAGGGGCCAGCGCATCGGCATTTCATTTTGCGTCATGCCAGGGATGACAACGTGTCATGCCCAGAATGACATCATGTCATGCCAGGGGTGGATGTCAGGTCATGCCCGATCACGCCAGGGATGGCATCATGTCATGGCAGGGCAGACAGCATGTCCTGCCCAGAAGAACATCAAACGGCAGCAGTACCTCCAATACCAAAACGCCGACCCAGAAGCACATTGAGAAGTTGGACCCCCTATAGCCTGCAGGTATTTGCTGGTTTGGGAAAAGGGGGTGCAAAATAGCAGGAACAAATGTGATGCAAAAACAACAAACGGTGAATTAGGATGCAGAAGAATAGAGAAGATGGACAGCATGGAAAGTGAAACCAGGCAAGGATTTTTCTCGCCAGGAACCGGATCCCCGACCATACATGGCACTGGCATGCAGTGGCTATTGTGCTGAAAGAGTGTAAATAAGGTCGCACGAACCCTGTCAGAAAACAGGGTCGTTGCCGCTACCGCGAACAAAAGCCAGATCAAAAACAGGGCAGGCGCCAAGAGCGCCAAGTAGGGTTTAGGTCCTGAAGAGTGGATCAGAACCGAAAGATGACGGAAACGCTGGTTGGGTCGAGGTCGCGACTTTACAATACGGTGGCCTGGGAGGTTAAATGAAACCATCATTTTTGCACGCATGCAACCTTGCACCAATTGGGCGGGCGGCGGGGAGAGGAAACGCAGCTGCCAGAGGTTTGCACGCCAGCGCAGTCGGTTGAGGAAGGCCGCCCCATCAAAATCCATCCACTGTATCGTCAAGTATGATGTCATTGCTTTAAATTGTGCAATTGGTGTGTTTTCAATTGTTTTCATTTTATGTTGGTTGGGATCTCTCGACAGACATTTTTTTGGATGCCAACGCTGGGACGCGTGCGCTGGTTCAAGCCGTGTTGGGACGTGGGCGCGATGTTGTATTAGGTCTAGGACTTGGTGTGCAGAAACTGATTGTTCTTGGTGACTAATATGGGGGCGAACTTTGGGTAGTTATTTTGTCAACGGCTGAGGCTGTATGGTCGAAGTGGACGTGTTACCAGTAGAGGCGTCGTCCCCGTGTTTTAGGTGGAATATGCTGGACAGCTGGCTCGAGTCTTCTACGGCATGAAATGAAATGTCAATGATACTGTTTATATATGTTTATATATATATATTTTTTATATCTGTGTATTGTTTGTTTATGGACATGGGAGCTGGGCAATATGACCAAGAGGCAGATGACGAAGATGTCCAGGGTGCAGAGGCAGGAACTTGTCCGAGACCCAGTTGTTTTCAATTTTCTGCGCCCATACAGCACCAGCGCATTGAGGCATTGGAGCTATCATGGCCCATGCCTTGAGCGATGATGAAGAAGAGGTTGGAGAATGATATGGCCATTGAAATCAGTGTTTCGGATTACATGGCTTGCGCGTCAAGAGGTCAAAGGTGCCCACCATGGTCGACCACATCCTCCTGGCAGAGCAACCGCAGTTGCAGCCACAGATTGAGAGGAAAAAACAAATCACAGTATTCTTGTCTGTTGGGCAAAATGCCGCTTGCAAACCATGAGTTTGCTTCCATGGACACCTGTGGGGCAGAGGATATCATTTGGCAACATTGGGCATTCTGCAATCATGCATCCTTGCCACCCATCAGCAAACCAAATCTGCCAAGGAAAAGCAACAGAGAGGCCGACGAGTTGAGCATTTTTGCGTGTTTTTGATCGGAACTCGCCAACCCTGTGAAGGTCCACACCCTCAAATTAGCAAACTGCTTGCTAGCCCCAGGCCACATGTAGCACTGCACAGAAAGCATACAGAAACATGTGGAAGACGTGGTCCAATTTGAAACCAATCAAACCCCGGGCCAACGAGGCGCTACACGGAGTTGCGCGAGTGCCCCATCTGTTGGTGGTTCCATGATAGAGTGTCTTTGGTGCTTGGATGGGAGATGTATTTTCAACAGGCAGTATAATGGAAAGGGTCTCACTGGTGACGCGTATTTCGGACTCGGATGTGACGCGGAGCTGCTGGCTCACTTGTGACGCGACCGTGCTCACCTTTGGATCTGGTGTGCTGCTGGGGGGGGGCGCTGCGCCCTCCCTAACCGACACCCGCGCCGGCCACGAAATCAATATCTTAAGGTGTGCCCGTGTGCCTGTGAGTGTAGTAGTAGTAGTAGCAGCAGGAGTAGTAGTAGTAGCAGTATATAATAGTAGTAGCAGTAATAGTAGTAGCAGTAACAGCAGCAGCAGCAGCAGTAGTCGTAGTCGTAGTCGTAGTCGTAGTCGTAGTCGTAGTCGTAGTCGT